GCCAAACCCATTGATCATCGAGAACCTATTCCTTAGGAAATGAAGGGATAAGATCATGCTAACACCCATCTCTTAGAAACCCACTGGAGGAAGCCACTCATTAAACCCTTTCAGAAAGGATGGAGGGAGAACTAACCCATGCTTTTGCATTGTTCTCTGTGTCTGCCCCCAATCTTTTCCTGCCTGCTTCAATTTCCCTCCCCCACCCCCACTTCCTTCCTTCTGCCTATCTCGGCTGGCTCTCACCGTCTGGTTGGTTCGGACGTGGTTGCACTGGCCCCGATCCCCAGCCTCACCCTCCCTCTTCTCAGGATCCCCACACTGAGATTCATATGAGATGTGGACCCCCGGAGGGAGTGGAGAGTGTTCGAGGGTCACCGTGGAGGACAGGCTCTGTGGAAGGGAGACAGTGAGTAACCACGTGAAGGCAGGACTCCAACCCCACCTTGTGCCCTCTGCAGCCATTCCAAATTCCACCACAAGCCTGCCCTCGACCTGCTATGGGGCCCCTTGTAACATGCAGGAGCTGCTTCTCATACTCCCAATCAGGATATACAACCTGTACACGTAAAGCCCTCGAGGGCAGAGTCTTTCAATTGAGTTTGCCCTGGGAAATTGGATCCTGTCTCAGATTTTCTCACTGTGGCTTTAGGATGTGATCCCCGTCATAAGACGCCTATAGCATGGTTACAGAGCTAAGCCCAAGAAACACTTAAGGATCTTTATGGTTCCTTCTACCTGTAAAATTCTATGGTTCCTATGAAAAATGCCTCTGAATTATTTGTAAGCTCAGTGAAAGTAGGCTCCAGATGTTACTTTCCTTATGGATCGACTGGGGCACAAATGCCAGCCCTTCTGTCTGTTCTCTGTGTGACCCTGGGCAAGTCATTCAGCCCCCTGTGTCTGTATTCTCATCTATAAAATAGGGATGCTAATTGTTAGCAAACAGGGGTTCATTGGGATAAGTGGGAAGGCAAACAGCATGAGCACTTAGGACAGTGTTTGGCATGAAATACTGGCGCAATGAATGTTCCTTTCCTTCCTTGCCCAGAGCAGGGCTCTGTGTTCCACGCAAGCCAGACACTTCAGATGTACAAGTGTCAGCCCAGCTGAGTGAACGATTAATGACAGCCATAGACAAACTGTAGGTAAGAGCCATGGAGGGCTACACCGAAAAGCGATCAGTCCTTCTCAGTTCTGTCACCTCCCCAAAGGCCCCTTTCCAGGGCCTGCGCTCGCCATGCTGCCAGTCCCAGCCCCGTACCTTATAAGCATCCATGATGAGCTGCACCACGTTGCTGGAGTCCTCACTCAACAACCCCACTGCGGACTTAGGAATCAGCTTACTCAGCTCCTAGGTTATGAGGAGTTGAAGGAAATGGGCTTCTGGAGGGTCTGGAAAGGGGGTGAGGACATATGGGGAGGAGGAGAGTGGGTCTTTGAGGGAGCTGGGAAAGGGTCACGGCAGGAAGGTCCGGCATTCAGACAGCTCTCACCTGGTAGACAGGCAGCGTGGCACTGGTGACAGCAAAGATGGGCTGGATATTTGCTGCAGACAGGGCCTGGGCTACCTGACCCACAGAGGGGTAGTCCTGGGCAGGGGAGCAGGGACAAGGTGAGCTCCGCCAGTCTCCCGCACAACATCCAACATGCCCTCTGCCCAGGAAGTCCAGGAACCAGGGTTCCACCAGCCAGAGGAACCCTGGAGGCTCAGCAAAGAGGAGGGAGGGGCTAGGGAGTGGGGTGACATGGGTTTCTGTCTGACCAGTGGGGGGACATGGAGAAGAGGAGCTCCTGGGGAAGAGGGCAGGGTGGTCACTGGTAAGGGCAAGGAGACAGGGGTGGGGGGCCTGGACATAGAGGAGGGGTGG